AGTAGCGCGAGAACTTCCGGGCAAAACAAAATGGCGACCCGCGTAGTTCTGCTCGATTTGAAAAGTTAAATAGCCGTAGCATCTTTGTAGACAAAACCAAATTAATTTACTTTTGTGTTTTAAAATCATTTTTAAACTTTGTTTTGGTCAATTTGAGCGTCCACACCGATAGACAGTATTCAGAAAGAGATAGAGAGAGAGAAGAGGGGAGAAGTAGATCTTGCGAGAACTTCCTGGCAAAACAAAATGGCGACCCCCTTAGTTCGGCTGGGGGTTTTTTCAAATAAATTTTGTTTCCCCAGTTTTTCTCCTCAGCTTTCTTTTCTTTCTTTTTTTTTTTACCCTCGTTCTTTCTAGTTTTACTTCTAAGCCAACCACACTTTCCCTTCGTTTTCTCAAGCTTTCCTTATAAGCGTTATATCAGGATTTTAACATCTTCTTTTCGATCCCTCTTCCTCCTCTTAACTTATCATTTTTTAACTTCTGCTCTTTCCATCTACATATTATCTAATTCTACATTTCTAACTTCTGTTCTTTCCATCTATATATTGTCTACGTCTACATCTAACTTCTTTTCTCTGTTTAATTTAGTAGAGGTTTTACGGAGCTCGCAACTGCATAAGGTCATATGAGCGCCATTCTATTCTCTAAATCTACAGCTCTACATTTCTACCTTTTATTCTCTCCATCTACACATCATCTGCTTCTACATTTCTAACTTCTCTTCTCTCCATCTATATCTCCACTTCTACATTTCTACATTTTATTCTCTCCATATATATAATATATATCCACTTCTACATTTCTACATTTTATTCTCTCCATGTATATATCCACTTCTACATTTCTACATTTTATTCTCTCCATATATATATATCCGCTTCTACATTTCTACATTTTATTCTCTCCATATATATATATATCCATTTCTACATTTCTAACTTCTGTTCCTTACAGCTCCACTTCGCAACCACTCGACACTATTCTAGATAGCCCTATCTGTGGCCTGTAAAACTGTAAAATGTTATTGAGGCCGAGGCAGGATGAGACCG